TGCCTTTTAGATAAACATATTATATTTCCCTGAGATTTGAATTATAATTGGGGAAAAAATCCTACCCTATTGCGAAGGTCCCTGTAATCTCCTGATCCTGTAAAAATGAAATGATGTAAGAGAGGACTCCAAGGTTCCTGATATGCTCAATTTAATCCCTGTCCTGCCCAACTATTCTCCACCCATTGGGAATATAAACAGATGTGAATCTACCTCATTTAATACATTTTCTTAAAGAGAAAAGTGGGAACAACTTCAATCTGCTATTATTAAAACCTTAGGGGAATGAAAAAAGGACAATTTTTATTTATTTAAAAGTAGTAGTGGGGGGATGGTATAGCTCAGTGGTAGAGCACGTGCTTAGCATGCACAAGGTCCTGGGTTCAATTCCCCAGTACCTCCATTAAAAAACAATAAATAAATAAATAAATAAATAAACCAAATTACCTCCCCCTACCAAAAATGAAAAATAAAAATAAAATAAAAAGTAGTAAGTAAACCTGTGAACGTGAGAAAAATAAACTTTCCTTTCAAAATATTTAAATTGTCTGAGAACGTGAATGATAATCATCCACAAAAACTCTAGCTTGGTTTGCTCTGAATGAGAATGTTCAGATTGTAATGTTAAGTCTATCCTTCCTGCTTCCTAGTAACAGCTAAAAATGGAATTTCATGTTTTTTCAGGTAGTCAAAGGAAGATGATGATACTGGGCTCTGAACTAAAAAAAATCTTAAAACTTACAGCATAATTAAGTAATTACAAATATTTAATTGGAAATATATATAGTTTTCTATTCCTATATTTTTAATGACCATTACGTTTTAAAGGTTTCCATTCTCCTAAAAATCTAGAATATTAATCTTTTGAATTATTCTAATTTCTTACCCTTCAAGAAGTTGTGTATTTTTTTGTTAAATGATGTTACCATCTCATGAACATTTTATTCTGCCTGCTAGTAAGACACTGTCTCCTTTCTCTTAGAATGCTCAAATATTCCACAGAAAGACATTTCCTCACTTTGCAGCTATGATTTCCTCGTGAATTTTGATACTTTTAAAATAGCGCTACTAAATTATTGGGCTTTTTGTGAGAAAGCTGCCAGTTGAGAACTGTACAATTTTATAACTGGAACCATCTTGCTCATTATCACCTTTTGAGAAATGATCCACCAAGATTTTTAGCTCTGTGAAGAGTCAGTCACCCAGTTAGCTTCCAAATCTCAGTCTGACTCTGCTGTACTGTATACTGTGCAACTACTTCTTATTTTTGAACTCTTTATTTATAAAGTCTGTAAACAGAAAGACCCATTATTCAGTGGCTTTGCCACCAGAAGAAAGTACTGTATCGAAGACGGCTATCGCCAAGTCCAGGGTTTCACTGATGCTCCTCTCCAGGAGGTCACCCGCCACCTCTTACTGCCAACACGTCTTTGCTTGGTGTTGTTAACACACCTGCAGTAGTATCTAGGGTGTGATTATAGCTGAGGAAATCTTTTCTCAGCTTCTAAAAATACAAAGGAGATTTTCAGTACTTATCTCACTGGCTCTCCATGACAATTAACACTAATGACCAGCCTTTCCCTCTTAAAATTCTCTGTTCCCTTGGCTTCCAAGACACTATTTATTATCTCTTGTTTCTCCTCCTGTGTCTCAGGTCCCTTCTGCTCAGATTCTTCAGGGGCTCCTTAGAAGGATATTTTCTTCCCTCCTTCCCTCGCTCCTTGTCTTTGGCCAGCCCATTTACTGAGCACCTAGTCTGTGTCTGACATCACTCTACGTCTAGGATCTCTGCTCTCGAGAACGTCTTCATCTGGGAAGGGAGCAGA